CTCTCTCTCTCTCTCTCTCTCTCTCTCTCTCTCTCTCTCTCTCTCTCTCTCTCTCTCTCTCTCTCTCTCTCTCTCTCTCCTTCCATGAAATAGTGTAAAGTCTGGCTACTGCTGAGCATCTGGGATGGGGCTTCTCTACAGCTAAGGTGGGCCCAACCTACAAAAGAGATCCAGAGTTCAAACCCCACAAAACTTAGGTTGGCTGGACTCTGGGGGTTTGGTTCAGCCCCTTAGAAAGACAGGAGCCATTTGCAAAGTTTGGCTCCTGGCCTGGGTTCCTGTGTGAAGTTTGGGAGTGTTTGGCTCAGGGGTGGGGGTTGGTTTGGTCCCACATGAACTGAAAGTCCTGCCATTTGAAATGGAAGTGAATGAGCCCTTACAGAAAGGTCCCTGATGGAACCAACGGGGATCTATAGAAATCCCTCTGAACATTTCCAGAACTTAACAGAGGATGAGAGCCTTTCCATCACACTTGTTCTGGCATCCTATGGAGTTCTGTAGTATTGGTGTATTTTGTAGGGTGAGCTCTAAGATCATTATCATTTTCTAGTCAATAGGCCATTCCCATAAGGGGAGTAGCAGAAAACAGCAAATATACATCTCTTCCTAGCGACGCGGTGATTTCCCTGCTAGCGAAAGAGGTGGTTTTACACTGTAAAGTGCACTGGCAATCCAGGAATCTTGGCACCTGGCTGCCTCCATTATGGATGAAGCTGACAAAAGGGGGTGATGTCAATGTGTCAGGTTTTATCCCTTTCACAAGTGGTGACCTGTTTTAAAAACAAACCAACCCAGAGGAGGTATTTCAGCTAATGTTCCAGTGTGCTGGCCCTTTAAGGAGGCTGTAACAGGACACCTGAAGTCCTGGAGAAGTGTAGCTGAGATTTCATTGTCTCTAAACTGGCTGGTGTTTTCTTTTTTTCCCCTCCTCCCCTTTTCCCTTCCTCCAGTCCCAGTTTAATTTGCTGAACAGCAGCATGGATCAGAGCATCGGCAGCAGAGCGGCTTCCACCAGCCCTTACAACTCTGAGCACCCCTCCAATGTCCCAACGCATTCTCCCTACTCGCAGCCCAGCTCTACCTTTGATGCCATGTCCCCAGCTCCTGTCATCCCCTCCAACGCTGACTACCCTGGGCCCCACCACTTCGAGGTGACGTTCCAGCAATCCAGCACAGCCAAGTCTGCCACTTGGACAGTAAGTTGCATGAGTTCGTCTTGACTTCAGTAGAGAGATGCATGTGTGTCTGTAGAAATGTTCGCAATGAATCTGCATCAAACCCTTTACTGTCTCTGTATCATTTCGCAGAAGGAGACACAGTGCATGTTTATATACCGCGGACCTTGCAATGTCAGCTGCAACATGTATAGTTATTCGATAGTCAGCAGAGGGTATTTTGGATGCCACCTTTAGAGGTAGCAAATATAACTCAAGCCTGACAAGCAAAACTTTGGGAAATAGTGGGGTTTATTTTCAGGATTTATTTCCAGACACAGTAGATCCCTAGATTTTTCATATTTTTTTATTTCTGTTGATTTGTAATAGCAAATGAATCACTCAAGCTCTAGGAGCCCTGATGAGAATTAAACTTGCAGCCACAAAAATATCATTCAGCAACATCACACAATAAGAAAAACGAACAGAGCAGCCAGTGGATAACACAGTTGCATAGACCTGTCCCTACAAGTACGCCAAAAGCCAGCCACTCAGCCCATGGCTTTCACAGCATGTCTTGAGGTCTATGAAAAGCGTCATCTCAGCAGAGCAAGGGACAGGGAAATGACTGAGAGAAGAAGGGTGCTGCTTTTCTCATCAGCGGTTAGGTCCTAAATTCATGTCATAGGGGCTTTTGCATAAGCATGGCCCATAAAGAAAAAAAATTATTGACACTTATTTATTTTTAAAACATTTCTGTCCTAGACATTTCTCTGGAAACAAAGTATTCACAAAAAAACTCCCAGTGCAACTAAAGCACCCACTCAGCTCCCACCCACCAAGAAACGCCTGGGAAAATAGATGCATCTTATAGACAGAATTCCTTTCCCTGGGGGAATGCCTGCCAGGGTATAAAGACTGAGGTGAGACAGCTGACACAGAAAGGGAGCAAAGGGGTTTCCTGTAGGATTATGGTTTGACCGTGCTACCAAACCAGCACAGCAGATCTTGAGTAACATGTATCAGCCCTACGTGTGATAATGACTTATTTTTGGAAGCTGATGTGTTTAATTACTGTGAAAGGCCTTTTAACGATGGACAAAAAGTTGTCTTCCGGCTGCTTAATGTATGGGCTAAGAGCGTTGACACCCCAAATAGCTGCAGCTCCTATTCTGTTCTTGTCAGTCCAATACATGCCACCCCTCTAGCTGCTGCATGTGGGAATGGAAAGTGCACTCGGAATATTGCCTAGTGGGAGCGTGGCGGGGAAGGGGTTAAAAGGGTGATTTATAACAGCTGTCTCCCAGCAGTTTGTTTTGTAATTCTAGACAGCCAAGCTGCCCCGTGACAATGAATAGGGAGAGCAGTGAGGGGTCACCTCCGCGGGGCTCCCAGGTGAGCAGGCAAGGGAAATGAACGGGACTGCTGAATTCTAAGCATTCCCAGCACAGCGCTGAAGTAGGGAACTCCTATCCCGGTGCCCTCAGCACACAACGAGCTCTCGTCGGTATGATCTCCCGGCAATTCTACGCCAAAATATACTGGATTCTGGTATCGGCAAAGAATAAGGAGCCATTGTGGTGTAAAATAAAGCAAATGCAAGGTCAATCCGTACGGCGTAGCACTGACCACTCAGTCTTCAGCAGCGGCTCTAAGACAGCAACAGAGCTTCTAAAGCAAACCAAAAATAAATCTGGTTTTCAAGGGATCATCACTTACTTCATGGCTTGGCGTAAAGGACCAGATGCTCTGGTGTAAATAGCTGAGGAGCCGGCCCAAACATTTTATGGGGAATCTGTACCTGGCCAGCATTCTAGTTAAGAGGACAGGGTGTCTGGATGGCAGTGTATCCCCTGCCCCTCTCTGGGTCTGTGATGTGTAGATTAACAATGGGGTATCTCCCTGGGTTAGGTCTGGGATTAACATTAGGCCCTGAGGGTAAGAAACAACCCTAGCCTGTTCGTCTTCCCTTGGGGGGAAAGTTCCCTCGGTGAAATGTGAAGGTCAGTAGGAATTGCCCAGCTAGTGGAGGGACTCAGGCCTGTGATAGGAGCCAGGTAAGAATCTAGGTAAATTGGTAGGGCCAGATTTGGATGAAAGATGGAATTTTCTGCCCAAACCCTGGTTCTTTGATGGGGCTGTTCAAAAGGAAGGGATGCCAAATGGAAAACAAATGTAGGCTACTGTGATGGGTCTCATCTCTGAGATTCCTCCCTCCTTGGGCACTCCCATGAGCTGGGAGCCACCACATGGATCGGGGGTAGCATGGTGGTCATCGAACATGGTTTGGTCAGATACAAAAGGCAGGGCTGCTTTAATTGTGAGGCCTGCACTTTGACATCCCATCCCCTGACAGTGCAGGTGAGATACTAATAATCAGCCTGGCGGCAAACAGCAAAGAAAATAAACTCAGCATTTCCCAGGGGGATTCAGTAGCCTACTTGGTCTGGTATTTCCCACCAGTGATGCAAGCGGAGTGTATCAGCTACAAACTCCTGAAAGACAATGAAAAGCCAGAGACGTGCAGCCTGTGCTAGCCAGCTGGCTTCACTGGGACAGGAACAGATCCCGGATAGCAGAGAATGCCCTCCTGGATTCTTACAATACTCCTGACATTAATACACACAGACACAGAGCTGTGGACAGGAGCTGTTCAGTACATGTGAATCAAGGGAAAGCACCTGCTGAAGGAGCACCCACTGATCACAGTTGAATGAACCATTAGGAAAATGCCCTTTTCCTGCTCTCAAATGCTCACTGATCATAGGATTTGTGCCTGGAATACACACACTGTGTATATACCCAATGCCACATCATTCCCACAATAGCAGCAGCTAGGGTGACCAGATGTCCCGATTTTGGGGTCTTTTTCTTATATAGGCTCCTATTACCCCCCACCCCCGTCCCGATTTTTCACACTTGCTGTCTGGTCACACTAGCAGCAGCAACAGTTAAGGACAGAGCAGCACAGAAACAAGTGCGTTGGGCTCATCCCGTACGGCGCGCAGCCACTGACTGCATCACAGCCCTCGTTCTGTTTCAGTGCCATTGTTCTATCGCTTTCAGCTTTGTTGGTGTCCCAGGTTAGTGGAACCTCTGTTTTTGGGACTGGCGAGTGTGTTCTCTGTCACTAGAGATCCGGGCATGCTCAGCTTCATTGATGATGTCTCCACTGCATGGGCATCCACACAGCACTGATTATACTACCAACATCCTCTGCCGTCATGCACTGGGCTCCACATAAAAGCTAGGGTGGATACTTTTGCGGGATATTCAGTTCTACAATTATTACAGAGCCCTGCTCAAGAAGCTGGGATCTTCCCAGGACCTTGCACTAACGCAGGACAAATGATCGAAATCAGGATATTCTTATCTCACGGGAAGCACAGTGGAACCTGCTTTGCATTTCATTCAGAGTCAGTAGAATTCCGCTTAGAATGAAGTAGAACGAAAGTCCCAGACTGTTTCAGCATAGCACACTGTGGTGGCTGCAACCCTGGTTTATTGTATCCTTACACTTGGAATGAAGCTGATCTGTGCGGGGGGAGGAAATGGCTAACATGAGAGGCTAGTTTTCATGTTTGGAACCCCAAATTATCATCCCCAGCCCTGCATTCAAGTGCCCAGATCAGCTTTAACACCTGAACGAGGCATGTAAGCCCACATGGCTCAAATATACTTTTGAAAATTAGCCTCCAGGAAGTTGTAGGCACTTCGATACCACAGTAAAAGAATGAATATGTGGAATGAATGTGTGAGATAGATAAAAATTGGATTCTGCTCTCATATACTCCACTGCAAGTCAATTTGGAGTAACTCCACTAAAGTCTGTATAGTTACAACATGTAAAACCTGTGCGAGATCAGAATCAGGCCTATCATTTCCCTGTATTTTGGACAGTGAAAATTGTGGCAGATGCTTGGTTCCAAACATCAGCTGTGTTGCTGGAGGGAGCATAAGTTCCCATGTGACTCTGCAGTGACCATTGTAACATCTTCTCTTTTAACAAATACTGGTCATGCTGGATTGGCAGCGAAACTCATCCCAGATTGCACCATTGTCTGATTGACAAAGTGTCTGAACTTTGTAATTTTGTATTTTCTGTTAAAAGAAAGAGATTATTTTCCAGGTCTGTTTTCTCTCCACTAGACTGCATGCTTTATTTCCCCACTGGATACAAGACTGGAGAATGAGTATTTGTGCAAAGAAAATGATTACAATTGAATCAAGTGATCACAGTCTAATTTCGCTTGCTATATGCAAACAGCAGACAGTCTCGACCAAAGAAGTACTAATCAGCGGTTAGGAAATACAGACAATTGATAAGGGAAGCTAAAGGTATCAATGAAAACTCTATGGCCAGTGGGGTTGAGGACAGCATGAAAGAGTTCTTTAAATATATCAGGAACAAATGAAATCCTAGTACTGCTATAATTCTGATACTAAATAAAGATGGCAAAATTATTAATCATGATGCAGAAAGTAGTAGTCCACAAATATTTCTGTTCTGTGTTCAGAAAGAAAAAAGATGTTTTCATATCTTATAGAGATACAGAAATGTTTTCTATTCCATCAGTACTAGGAAGGATTGTAAACAACAACTATTAAACATTTTAAAATCAACAGGACCATATAAATTGCTCCCATGAGCATTAAAAGAATTGGCCAAAGAGCTCTCTGAACCACTAGTGTTAAATAAAACTTGGAGCACTGGATTGGAGAGAAAAAAGAAAAAGCCAGTGGATGATCAAAGACCCGCTTGGCCAGTTAGCCTGATAATGATCCAAGGCATAATCATGGGTAGGCTGATAGGGGGGTACAATCAGTAAAGAATTAAAAGGGGCTAGCATAATGAATACCAGTCAATATGGATTTATGGAAAATAGGTCTTGTCAATAGGTCTTTGATGTTGTGTTTTGATGAGGACACAAGTTTGGTTGATAAAGGTAAGTGTGTTGACATAATATACTTAAACTTCTGTAAGGCATTTGACTGAGAGCATCTCTACACAGAGGAATAGTGCACAGCAAGCCTGGCTTTAA